GTGTGCAAACAGCCAAGGCAGGAAGGAGGATGCATGAAATTATCACATTTCCTGTGATTTTTAAAAATTTGATGTGAACAGTGAAGTGGTACTAGGAAACAAGTTGTGTCAGATTAATCTGAATTTTCATTTGCAGGCTCATAAAAGCACAAATAGATCATCTCCTTAGGACAACTCGTGTTTGATTGCCCATTATCACACCTTTTGGTTTTAATAAGGGAGTAAAATTATCTTTCCAAGAAAAACTGCAACTAACGCTGCTTTTCTCATTTGTTTTTATAATGTTCTCATCTCCCCTTGAAATAGGTGTTGCTGTCACGATTCAGCTATGTGGAGAGTCACAGACTGCTAGACGGACGCTTGTTAATCTCCTCCATAGCTGTTGGCTTCTCACTCTTTGCTCTTCTTTGGGATTGGCTCTATCCTTTCCCACAGTCTAGGTAAGCTATGGAACTATGTTGTCTTCATTATTACTTTGTTATGAACCTATACTATTGTAAACTGAACTGGAGCATTTGTGAGCGTGCATCATTATTCAAATTTGTCTTTTTGTTTTATCAAACAATCAATATTATTGAAATTTAATAGAATTTTTGTTAATGAGTTTTATGGTTGTGATGGTCATTTGAAGCTGAGATGCCAGTTTATAAAAAAAAAATTCTTTTAAGATAGTTCTTTAATATATGTTTCTTCTCTCTTCTCACTGGGTAATTAGAATGGTAATGTGTGTTTGTGTGGTGGCCTACTTTATCATGATGGGAGTGCTTACCTGGTACACAACCTATTTGGAAAGAGGAATCTTCTGCACAGCCCTTAACAAAGATGTGGCTGGAATAGACCCTGACGACGTCTGGAATGCTTCATCATCACTGAAGAGGTAAAAGTAGTGGATACAGCCCATTGATGTAATATACAATGTTGTCATCTTTTTAAGAGTAGTCGTATCATGTGTTTGGGCAGAGCTTTAGTATTTTTGTTCCAGTTTTATAATAATTGCAGTAGTTCTTTTTTCTCATTTTCACTCTGAATATTAATGTTTAAATTAAGATAACATTTGCTTAAGTCATCTATAAAATGGTAGCACAAAATTTAAAGCACAGAGTTTGTATTTTACCAGCAATGGTCTTGTGAAACACCATTTTACAGACTCGTGTATTTAAAAGAAATATACAAAATAGGAGCCTAAAGCATGGTTAATGGATTTTGTGCAATACATTCTTTGATTTCATGGCTAATACAGTCAAAATGTGGTATGATATTTCTTGATAGAAAGAAATAAAACAATTTTCCCCCAAATAATTGTATCCATTAGGTGGTTGTGGTATGATCAAAACTTTTTCTGTTAACCTATTGCCACCAGATTTAGAATATACGTGCATTGCCATTTCCACTGATTTTAGTTTCTTAAATGTTTTTACAAGTAGATAGCACTGCAAGAGTTTTAGTTACTAAGTAGTCAGATAAAAGTCAGCCCTTTCATCTCACCTGTTTACCCTTTCCATTGATTTTTGGAAAGCTTCTTTTTCATACTTTCTTGCTATTAGTATTTCAATGACAGTAGGATCATAATATCAATAATAATGGTAACGATCAATATGAATAGCAGCAGACAAAATATTTTTTCCAAAAATTCTAGGAATGGGGAAATCGGGTAATGTCCCATTGGGCCTCCTAATTGACTCCTTGATGACTGAGGACGTTTAGAGCCAATTAAGCATAAAAAAAAATCATAATAATAATAGTGAACAATACATGTACCTAGCAGCAATGGATTACAAAGTTAACATAAATCAGTGTTACAAAAGTAACCTCAGATAAGATGAAACAAATCCATTATTTTCTCTTTCCTCTCTAGGTTTGACAACAAGTACCACCTGTGCCTTTCGCAAAAGACAGGGAAGACGGGCAAGGCAAAGAAGCACGCACTGTCCTCACAGTTGAAAACTTCTTTGATGAGACTGGAAGGCTTCTGTACGGCTCTGTGGTAAAGGAAGTCCTCCGCCTGCACTCTGATGTAGAACACAAGAAGAACTAGAAAGGGTCAAGTAAACTATTTGCTGAATTACTTAACCTTATGTGAACTTTGTTACATATTTAGAAAGAGACTTAGGTCGTAGTTGGAGCGATAAGAATCAGCAGTTTGCAACAGACCATGTTTCTCCTCACTTTCTACGCTTTTGGTTTATAATGTTATGTTTGGCAACATAGTTTACATATTTTGGTGGATATTGATAATCTGTGACTCATGTCATACTGTATTTGAGAAATGTAAGAGGTGAAAGTTATTTTTTATTTTATTTAATTTCCATCTATTCTTCAGATGAAAGCATCATTGTCCTAGAGAGTGGATGTGCTTTAGTTCCCCAGATCTGTGAAGCTGTATGCATGTATTCATTCAAGGTATCATGTAAGACAGATTAGGGTCAAACTGTTCCCATTATTTTCTTATAGATCAGTGGAATGATTTTTAGCAGGATTTGGTAAATAAACATTAAATGAATGTGATATTTTATTTTGATTCTTTTCTACAAATTTTCATCCTCTGTACTTTTCTTGTTCCTTTCTATCCTTCTTTTTTTTCAATGAATAGCAATTTATTATTCAGTCTCCTTTTATGCTGAAAATGGTTGCATTTGCACACAATTATTTTCTCTTGGTAAATATCTGAATTATTGTGTGTACACAGAATACTTGTCTACAAACAGAACCCAGCATTTTAAGTGTTTTTAAAACGATGTGTTTTGTACGTTATTATCCGAGTGATAAAAAAACAGATATACAGATAAGGAAAACCTTGCCATTGAGTCTGCTAACTGTGCACGTGGTTAGATTAATTTTGAGCAGCTCAACCAATCATATACATGTTTTAACTCTGGTGAATGCATTATTTCAAGGGAAAGTCCTGTTGAGCATGTCTCATATAGTACTAATAAAATCAGTTAAAGCCCTAACAACATACCAAAGCTTGAGTTACAAATAAGTTCATTTCTAAGCGACAGACATCGTAGAAAGGAATAAAAATAGTCTCCCACCCAAGAGAACAATAGTTTTTAAAAGCCCCTCATAACTCTATATACTCTTTCTATACTCCTTTTTCATTTACTTGTGTTTTAAATTTGCTTATCATACATATCTTGATAACTCTATATCATATTCTTATTTTGCCATTCCAATTGTATGAATTAGAACACTTTCATATTAGCAGGTAACAATGCAAGGGTAGAATATGCATTTATTGTTTCATATTAGCAGGTAACAATGCAAGGGTAGAAAAATGCATTTATTGTTTCACATCTAAATCATAATGAAATAAGTCACAAGGAATGAAATAATGCTTTAAATAAGCTAACTGAAACTTTATTACACTACAAAAATATAATCACTGTAAATGAAATTTACACAAAGACCTGAAAATCTAAATCCAAATCTTTCCTAAACTATACACCACTGTTTTATGACACTGGAAGAGTAAGTTTTTTTTTACAATAAATGTACACAAAAATAGTTTTATTCTATTTTAAAAAGTAGTCCTCAAATTTGTTATCCTTCAAAATCTTTTCAAGAAATTTCTTAACATCCACAAGCTATTTCAACATCAAGGGTTATGAAATTAACCAATCTATACCATTATTAAGCCAACTGTAACTGTACTACTAATTTGAAAATAAAGATGTTTAAATATCAAAATCATGTAGACCCATAACATCAACCTAAACATCTTAAATGATAAAATCCATCCTCTTTAATTGAACAGTAATCATTTCTAAAGCCTTTATTTGTCAAAAAGAAGTATAAATATATAAATTACACAATGCCCAATAATGTACATCTTATTCTGTACTTCTTGCAAGAGAGTAGAAATCATCTTGCAGTAATTAATGTTCATAATAGACTGCCCTACAATGAACTATTCCCATTTATTTGAAACCAAGCAATATCATTAATTACTACAATGATGAGGTGCTGCTTTGATATTAGCAATTAAACAATGTTTCAAAATTAACTGCATACTGGTGAAGTAGCTACTTCTACTTCACTCTCATTGCGTGTATATTCTTGCTTCAAGTTTACGCTTTGTTGATGATTACTCTGTCTTCTGATACTGTGCTAATTCATTATGATTCCTTTATGGAAAAAAGGAAATAACCTGGCTTAGAATCCAAACTTTGTTCATTTTAAAATTAACCCGAATAACTGTTACATCAAAGAATCTTAAAAGGCCAATCTTGTAATCTCTATCACTCAAACACTACACAAAAAAACCCTTGTTGCTCTCACACCAATTCACCTACTCGAAATGCTACACAAACTTTCTTGTTACTCTATTCTAACTCGACTAAAACTTGCTCCTCTTCCACTGTCTCTCCTTCCTTTACATGGATGGCTTTCACCTTTCCAGTGGCTGCAGCAACCAAGGAGTTCTGCATCTTCATTGCCTCTGTTGGAAAAAATAGTAGAATGTGAATAAGGATATGTGTTCTTTACATTTCAATGCTTTCAATAAGGATTTAACCCATTGATAACACGTGACATCAATAGGTGTCATGGTAACGGGTTAGCTAAGACAATGGAGGCTGTTCTCTAGTCTGTGTTATGTTGGAACATAACAAAAAAACATACACCCTCAAATTATTGTAAGCCTTCCAGAGTCAGCCTAAATCCTCATTTTAAAATGCATTTATCAATAAAACAATAATCAATTTGTCCTGAATCAAAGACAATGGATACATAACATTCCAATAATTCTTTGAACTTCTAATTTTTGTCTCATAAGGGCTACCTTGACATCAAAACCAGCACAGCAGATAGTGCTCTCTTATACCCTAAGTACCATTGTATTCCATGGGTCTAGTATTACAAGATACCTCCACTTGTACTTTGATACACAAAATGCCATTTAGTATTAGGCTTCCATATAATAATTCTCTCAAGGAGCAACACTGTTCCACATATACTCACCAATGACACACACTTCCTGGCCTTCTCCAACCATATCTCCTGGAGCACAAGCTATAGACTTCACCAAGCCAGGCATTGGAGACAAAACTACTTTACTCTGGTCAACCTGGAAGATGAAATATTTTTATAAATCCACAATGCACATTAAACCAACTTCAAGAGGAGAACCAAAATCAAGTTTTCTTTGTTATTTACATATAAGGAAAAAACAAACCTTGCATGATCAAAATGACTTATCATGATAAAAAAAGAATTTTTACATTTCTGCTACTAGTTTTATCTAATATACAGTAGTAATAGTGTCCCTCAGGCTCACTAAATATACACCTCAATCCATAATAACCTCATCAAAGGCTAACAATAAATATAAAAATCAAACAGTTGCACATTCACAATTTCCAACCTTTAATCACGCAAAAGCTATGGAAAACAAAATTTGATAACAATCGTTCAAATTCACTATCACTTCCTGTTCAATAAAGAAAAGACTTTGCTTACCTTGGGCTTCTCTGGCATATAAAGAGAGATAACGGTGGGCTGTATCCGTGACCACAGTGGTTTGGAATGCTGTTCCTTTATATCTGGGTAAAAAAGGGAAAATGTGTACTAATCACTGAACACTTATAAATAGATCTTACTGTGTCAAAAAATATAAATCAGACTGTATATGACATCTTTCAAAAAAGTTTAAAAAATAAAGAGAGGATATGTTCAAATGTCTCTCAGGAAAATGCTATAGAAATCATGCCCATTCTGCACACAGATCAGCAAAATTTTAACTTGTCAGTAAAACTTTACACAACTTACCTTATCCTGATCTCACCACCTGAGCCAAGTTTAATGAGCTGAATGGTTTCTTGTTCACCATCAATATTAGCTTCAATAAGGGGGGAAGCAAGATCAAAAGCAGAGTCCACAGCCACAACTCTATCTTCAACCGTCACCTAAAAGAGGGAGAGACTAGGTTTGTAGCCTTAAGCACATCTCTTAATATTGATAAATTGCCATATAAAATCAAACTTTCCATGAACCTAACATGCACGAATCTCTCTATATAAGGAAAACACCAATTTGATATTAATAAGTGCTTGGAGATAATCCTTACTGACCTTGAATGCACCATCCTCTACTTTGATTTCACAAGGTACATCTTCACCAGCTACTTGAACTACTAAGCTCCACGATGAGGGAATTCGGCTATTGACTTTAATTCTTTCTGCATTCATAAAGTTTCTGGACCTCAGTGCATCTTTCACATAAACTGAGGCTAACACAGCTGTAAGCTCGCCTAGGATTGAAGAAATACACACACACAAGTAATATAAACAGGCATACACATATATTTGTAGTTTATGTTACAAAATGATAAATAAAACAAATTACATTTTCTTTAAGAAAGTAATTATGAATCACAACGTAATGAAAGGGACTCAAACAAAATATTTGTAAAACTTTCATATAGAAAAAAATAAATAAAAATACATTCCACAACATACAAGAGTATTGTATTTCAACATGTGAAAAATTATTTAAAAATGCAGGCATTTTAAAATACCTTTTCCTTTGATGTTAGTTGTTTTCCCTTAAATCCGTCTGGATAAACCTCAGGAAGGTAATTGGTTGAAATATTTCCTGATACGAAGCGTGCCTCAGTAAGGATGTCTCTAAGCAGGGGTATGTTATGCGTCACACCTGGCAAGACACCATTGTATACTTGAATTATCTATTTTCTTTTCTTTTTTCTGTGTAAAAAAAAATCAATCTGCTCTTCCTTTGACAAACATATATATTACAAATGTGAATGTTAAATCTACTAGTTATATCATACACTATGAACCGTTTTCATTTGGAAGTAAATACATCTCTTCTACAGAGCAGTAGGGATGGTTACATCATTTGAGTATCTCTTTCCAATCTCTGAACTTTACATTTACCAATTTGATCTGTTGCTTTAAAAAGTATGTGTTGCTTGTGTATGGGTCTATTGCCAGCAAGCGGTAAATTTGTTTGTGTACTCCTGAATGTCTCTTATCTAATCCAGTTTCTGCCTCTCTCTCTTTCTCTTCCCCTCTCACACAGAAACATATATATGCACACACACCCGCGCACACATGCATACACAAGAGAGAGAGAGATAGAGATGCAAAGACTGTCAAATATGAAATCAAGTATTTTGTGTAAAATATTTGAAAAATCAAGGAGAGGAGAAGGGAGGAGGGGGATATAAGGACAATGAATGAACCAGGAGGGAGAAGTGTACCCCACTGTACAGTCTCCCATCCTGGTGGTATGGGGTAAGGTAAGTTATAGGGGATATGGAGGATAGGGGAAGGACCACAGAGGGGAAACTGTGATGTAGAATCTGCCAGTGATAGTTTCTCATTCTGAGTATGGGGCGGGGCATATCTAGCTGATGTACATGAATAGTGGAAACAGGAATGGTGGGTGGAGCTACAGAATCTCTAGGGCAGTATACAGTCTAAAAACAGATCCAGTGCAGAATACAGGATCACTCAGCAACAAGTAAAATTAAATGGAATT